ATTCGGAGAGTGGATGAGCTCTTGGGGGGAGTAAGTAAAGAGACAGGAGGAGAGCCAGCCCCAGAACAGAGGCGTAAACATGCATTTCAGGAGCAGGAGACTGCAGATCGCCAGGGGAGCAGGAGGAATTCTACTCTCTGACAGCTCTCCTGTCAGATAAGTTAGATGAGTATGAGGAAGGTTTTCACTTTCATGGGAGAGATCGTGAGTCTCAGAGAGGTCAAGAGATTATCCCACGTTCACCCAGGAAGTGATGGCAAGAGTTGCCCTGTGATCCATGTGCTGGTCCCCAGCCCAAGGCTCTCCTCCTTACATTTTTGTCACATGTTCTTTCTTGCAGGAACTAAGCGGCTCCTCCATGGCCCCTATCTTGACAGCAGTGCAATCTAAAACAGCTCCTCCCACGTTTAACAGGACCAATAAATTCACTGCCGGCTTCCAGAATATTGTAGATGCATATGGTGTAGGCAATTACCGGGAGATGAACCCAGGTAAGGTGTCTGATACGTTACCTGCCTGAGCAGCTTGAAAATGAAAATTGGGTAAGATTCACCCCCAAGGTGGCAACCTAGCAGTTGAATTACTTAAAACTGTGACTTTCCTAAAATCGTATTTGTTTTTTTTGAATGCTCTGCATCGTCTTCTGTAAAGGTGATTAGTGAAAGATTTGTTCCTTGTCAAGATTTCACCTGTTCTCCCTTAAACTGTAGCCTTATCAGGCAGCCAGATTCGGTTCTTGTTTGTTTAACAGTTCAATGAGGGTCATGTCTAGGCATCTCCACAATCTCATAGTTGTGTGGGAGAGATGGGAGCACACAGAACTTGGAGTCAGAAGCCTGGATTCCTAGTGACATAAACTGTGATGTTGGTGGCCTGGTTTGTAAAATAAAGGGGTAGACCAGCTGTCCCTTAGCCAAGCAGTGCATGATGCTGTTCTTGTCCAGCCTGTGTCCCAATCTAATTTGTGACCCATAATGCAGGGCCCCATAGGTGAGTAACTGCTGGAGGCCTGTGGTACATGTGAATGGTGGAGAAACAAGCAGGAGATGGTAGTGGAAAGAGCATAGAAAGCACGTAGAAAACGGATTTAAGTCCCATTAAACTTTGTGATCTTGGGCAAGTCACTTAACCGCTCCCAAACTCAGCTCATCTGTAAAGTGGAGAATAATAGTATTTATCCACTGATGAGCTCATGTATGTGGGAGCCAAGCAAGTGTCAGGGGTGCGAATACTGAGAGCTGACAGAATCAGAAAGGCACAAGGGAGCCAGCTTATCACAAGGAGCGTAATAGACCAACAGTCGGGGAGCCCACAGGACAGTGGGGAAGACTCAGGCTGTTGTGGTTCTCACCTCTGCAGCTCCCTATACCATCATCACTTTCCCCTTCCTGTTTGCCGTGATGTTTGGAGACTGTGGTCACGGAACCGTGATGCTCCTGGCTGCCCTTTGGATGGTCCGTAATGAGAGACGTTTCCTCGCCCAGAAGACGGACAATGAGGTGGGCGTCCATCAAATGTCCCCCCTCATTTCCTCAAATGTTCTTAAAGTGTGATTGTTGTTTTTGCCATAGGAATAGCATGTTCTTATGAGAAGGGGAAAAATGGAAAGTGGAAAAGAGCCAAAACAACATAAACACTAGGCCTTCCCTGAGCTTGTCACGTTAGCATGTGGTCCCTTTTCATCCACAGTCCTTGGATGGTTTGGTGCAGTGCCTTTTAGCATTTTCGTTTTTTTGTACATTGCTTGGCAAGGCGTTGATCTTTTCTTTTTTGCTAATATTGATTTTTTTCTTTGATTATAAAAGCAATATATGTTCATTGGGAAAATACAGCCATCTACTTAGAAAAAAATTACAATGAGTGTTTCTGTATTACCTTTCTAGTTTCCTTTCTGTGCTTAGACAAAAATATATAATTTTAGAAATTGGGATCAAATAGTGCATATTAATTTGTAGCCTCCTTTTTTTCACTTAAAATAGCACAAATAATTTTCATGGCAGAGCCCTTTCCCCACAAGCCCACGCTCAGTGTTCTTCTGAAACACAGACATCCGAACACCATGTCTTCACTTTCACACTTGAAGTTCTATACCTTCCGTGAAGTTCCCTCACAGAGCGATGTGAAGGTTGAGACAACTCAAGAGTTGCATTGTTTCAAAGTTAACCAGCTGATGTCACTTTGTGGCCACTGGCATTGCATTTTATGCCTTTAGCTATGTTCTGAATTTTATCTGCAATCTATTTTTTACAGGTTGACTTAACTAGAGCTAGTTCAGTGATGTCAGAGTGACCTAATCACAAGCAAGGTTAGTGACAAATCGACCTGTGACCAATACAGTTTTCATGACAAGCATTTTATTTAGAGAGAGAGGAAGGGAGAGAGAGGAAGAGTGAAAGAAACATTGATTTGTTGTCCCACTTATTTATGCATTCTTTCGTTGATTCTTGTACATGCCCCGACCTGGGGTTGAACCCACAACCTTGTTATTTCGGGATGAAGCTCTAACCAACTGAGCAACCTGGCCAGGGCTCATGACAAGCATTTTAATAGATGTAGTTTCCTGTAATAAATATTTGAAGTCTGCAAGTCCCACTCAGCGGTTCTGATGGTTGTTGCACATCCTGCAGTATCGGGAGAAGGCACTTTCTCTTCTTAGTGGATGTACTTAGAAACTCAACTTTTAATGGAGACCCCCCCCCCACCCCCGCCCCCGCAAAGGAGTATAGATTTGATTTGCCGTAAATTTAGCAGCCAGCTCAGAGCTCAGTGCTTACCTCCTGGAGACACAGCCACCCACTTTCAAGTCCCCCTTTTCACAGGTGAGGCCTCAGTTTCTGCTTTAATCACATTTTCTAACCAAGGCTGAATCCAAGCATATGAGGCCTCTATGCTTGTTTCCACAATAGCAACGACCAGTCGAGGACTTTTCAGAGTCACCTGTAGAAGCTCAGGAAAATCATGATGTGTGTGCTCTTGCTATCTGGGCCACTTTGGTGCCTGCCTGGTCGCGTGGCCCCTGTGCATAGGGCCTGCGTGCCTTGCTGTGGAGAGACCTGATCACACACTGGCTCAGAGCTCACTGACAGTCCTCTCTGTCTCCCCGAGGCCAGATCTGGAACACCTTCTTCCAGGGGCGCTACCTCATCCTCCTCATGGGCATCTTCTCCATTTACACGGGCTTCATTTACAACGACTGCTTCTCCAAGGCTTTCAACATCTTCGGCTCTTCTTGGAGCGTCCGACCCATGTTCAGAAATGGCACATGGAAGTAAGTTCACAGACAGGGACGGGTTGTTCCCTGGCCATCTATGGCTGAGCAAATCTACGCCTGGCTCGGCCCAGAGGTGTACCCACAAATTCAACAAATAATGCCTTTTTCTCAACTGAGCGTGAGACCTTGTGCCACTTCCTCAGTAACTGTGCTGGTAACTGTAACTCATGGAAATAGTTTTTAAAACTTTAGCTCAACTGCCCGGCTGGCGTGGCTCAGTGGTTGAGTGTAGACCCATGAATCAGGAGGTCACGGTTCGATTCTGGTCAGGGCACATGTCTGGGTTGAGGGCTCGATCCACAGCATGAGGCAGCCAATCAGTGGTTCTCTCTCACCATTGATATTTCTATCTCTCTCCCTTACTCTCTGAAATCAATTGGGAAAATCTACGTCTATATTTTGATATAGATATATATATATATATATATATATATATTTTTGATCACATAGATCACAGGAGCTCTTATAGATGATATGTTCATAGATATAGATATAGATCTACAGCAATCTTTGCTGTGAGAGACCGGATCTGTCCTCTCCTCATCAGGGGTGGTTTTCATGTTTTGTGGACACACAAAACACGCCTCTGCTTGGTGAATTCCAACCACTTGCCCTGAGGCGTGTTGTTAGGACTGTGTATGTCTAGAGTGGCCAGGGATCTATTTCTGTAGACTCCTTCATCCCTGCCCCTACCTTTTTTCTGATGTAGTATATACACTGAGTGGCCAGATTATTATGACCACCTAACGTTCGTAGGCAAATTAGCTATAATTTCGCGCTGAAGTTGCTAGAGGGCCAGACCATTATAAATAGGGAAGCAGGTTGTTTACCACGACAGTAGAAGTGACTTTTTTCTGAAGATATGGGTAAACAACGCGATTTAACAGCCTTTGAACGTGGGATATATTTGAACGTGAGTGGCCAGATTATTATGACCACCCCATCAGTACTTCGTTGGGCCACCTTTTGCCTTTAATACTGCGGCGATTCTTCTTGGCGTTGACTCCACGAGATGTTGAAAGGTGATGCGAGGACTCTGACAACATGCCTGATGAATAGCACTGTCCAGTTCTGTGAGATTTAATGGTTGTGGAACCAGCTGCCTGATGGCTCTTTTAACTTCGTCCCACAAATGTTCAATTGGATTGAGATCTGGTGATTGTGGGGGCCACCTAAGCAAGGTAAAGTCTCCCTCATGTTCTTGAAACCACTCCTGCACAATACGAGCACCGTGGCATGGCGCATTGTCTTGTTGGAAGAAGCCATCTCCATTGGGATACGCCATCAACATGATAGGATGAACTTGATCAGCAATGATATTTAGGTATGTTGTGCTATTCAGACGAATTAAAGGGCCCAAATCACGCCAGGAAATCATGCCCCAAACCATAACATTTGCCACCACCAGCTTGAAGGGTTGTACTCATGCATGTGGGGTGCATGCTTTCATGCTGTTTCCGCCAAATTCTCACCCTGCCATCTGCATGATGCAACTGGAAACGTGATTCATCGGATCACATGACTGTTTTCCAATGCTCGACTGTCCAATCCCTGTGTTTCTGTGCGAATTGGAGACGTTTTATCTTGGTAACTGCAGACAACAAAGGTGTTCGAACAGGCCTTCGGCTTCCATATCCCATACGATGCAGTGTACGGCTAATTTGCCTACAAACGTCAGGTGGTCATAATAATCTGGCCACTCAGTGTATATATGTTTTTTACTACATGTACCCCACCAGGCTGGAGCACTTTGAAAGCTTAGACTATATATTCCTTGGGGTTGGCGGGTCATTTCTGTCGCTCAGGCCACAGGACGGTGCTTGGCGCACAGTGGGGATTCAGTACCATTCATGGAATAACCAAATGAGCCAAATTGATGCGTTGCACCAGCAGTTAGCTGTGATTGGCTCGAAAGACGGCACCCTAGTACTTTTTCCTGCCGTTGGTCACTCACTGGCTTTGTTTTTGTTTTTTCCTTTCTCCCTCTGTAGCATGGAAACGATGGAGACAAATCCACTTTTACAGCTGAACCCCGCCATTCCAGGCGTGTACTCTGGGAACCCATACCCATTCGGGATTGATCCGGTAACAATGTCCTCTGGGCTTAAATAGTTATTCGATAGTTAAATGACTGGCTGAGGAGAAATCGGGGTGGGGTGGGGGGAGAGAAGTGCCAGAACCTATCAAATCAACCAACTTGTGTTGAGATAGAATTACGTGGACGGGAGGTTTTTGTGACACACTGCGCTGACTTCAAGTAAGTGTCCTGCCTGCATCCTTTACCCAGCCCCTGGGTCATTTTCCATACAATTCCCCAAACATCTGCCTCGTTCTCCATCACTTATGCCTTGGTGGTTAATGACTGCTTCTTTTTAAAAAAAATTTTTTTATTGATTTCAGAGAGGAAAGGAGAGGGAGAGAGATAGAAATATCAGTGATGAGAGAGAATCACTGATCAGTTACCTCCTGCACACCCCCTGCTAGGGATTGAGCCCACAACCTGGGCATGTGCCCTGACTGGGAATCGAACCTGACCTCCTGGTTCATAGGTCGACGCTCAACCACCGAGCCACGCCGGCTGGGCAATGACTGCTTCTTTTAAAAAGCCCTGGGTGCCTGGGAAGTATGCATATTAGATCATCAATTTAGCATCCTAATCAAGTTTCCTACTTGGGCATTTTCTTGCAGTGGGGTAACCTAGAAACATATGAATTTGCTTTTATTTTTGTTTAATTTTACTGCCTAGAATTGATACGAGTGGAAAAAGAGATTGTCAGCTTTTGTTTGTTATATCTATCGCAATTGGATTTGAGCTGAGCAAAGCGAAAGTGATTCCGCACACTGGATATGAAGGGGTTTTCCAGAAGACACCCACACATAGTGGCCCAGCGCAGATCGCCACTAGGTGGCAGCCTTGTGCTCCAAATGAGCATGGGTGGTCTAGACCTGAACTTGGCAGAGGCAGTCCAGAAATCTATCTTATAAGCTCTTTCTGTGACAGAGAACCCAAAAGCTCAGGTTCAGTTGCTGACAGTTAAGAGGGAACAGCACCGGCCCTAACGTTGGTTGTGTGGTCTCTCCTACCTTGTGGGTCATCTCTCTCCTCTCGTTTTCCTGGGTCCTCCCACTGCCTGCCCTCCTCCCCTCCCTTATAAAAACAGAAAGTGCCCTAGCTTTTCTGTTGGTTCAGTGGATAGTTTGGTTCCGGTCAAGGGCACATGCCTCAGTTGTAGGCTCTGGCCCTGGTTGGGGCACATGCAGGAGGCAAGCCGTTGATGTGTCTTTCTCACAGTGAGGTTTCTCTCTCCACCCCCCACCCCCCCATACTCTCTCTAAAACAGTGGTTCTCAACCTTCCTAATGCCTCGACCCTTTAATACAGTTCCTCATGTTGTGGTGACCCCCAACCATAAAATTATTTTCGTTGCTACTTCATAACTGTAATTTTGCTACCGTTATGAATCGTAATGTAAATATCTGATATGCAGGATGTATTTTCATTGTTACAAATTGAACATAATTAAAGCATAGTGATTAATCACAAAAACAATATGTAATTATATATGTGTTTTCTGATCGTCTTAGGTGACCCCTGTGAAAGGGTCGTTCGACCCCCAAAGGGTCGCAACCCACAGGTTAAGAACCGCTGCTCTAAAATGAAAAAATATCCTCTGGTGAAAATTTAAAAAACAAAACAAAAAAACCCCCCAGAAAACATTACCCAGGCCATACCTGGTTTGACTCACTGGATAGAGCATCCACCTGTGGACTGAAGGGTCCCGGGTTTGATTCTGGTCAAGGGCACATACCTGGGTTGTGGGCTCGATCCCCAGTAGAGGGCGTGCAGGGAACAGCCAGTCAATGATTCTCTCTCATCACTGATGTTATTACTCCGCCCCTCCTCTATGAAATCAATAAAAATATATTTTTTAAAAAAGAAAGCATTAGCCAGGATGTGTTGATGCTTGCTTCCCAGGGGCACTTGCATTCCAAGTTTTATCAAAAGAGGTAAAGTCCTTGAAAGCTGGTTTGCAAGCTGCTAAGTGCTAAAAAGATATGCAAGCTATTATTTTTATAGACTGGAAGGCTTTATCTCTGATCCTAGGAGTTTCCTCATTAGCAAGCAGATGGGGGAGTCCCCAGGGGGTGGTTTTAGGGTCGGATTGGCCTTGCTTTGAATCATGTTGCTCCCACTGTCCCTTCTCTTCCCCTCACAGCCCACATCTAATGCAGCAGCAAATCCTGTTTGTCCAGGTCTGCTCCCCATGAAGGGAGGGTGGTGTAACTCACATCTCAGAACTGAGCTTCCAGAGTTCCTGCTCTGTGTGCAGTTTCTGTCATCTGCCCACCCGTCAAAAAAGAAAGGAAAATGTGAGGGTGAAAGAGCAGGTGGAGATTGAAAATAATCCTCCAGGTAGCACTTAGATTTTTTTAAATTTATGGTCTTTTTATCATAAAATAATATGTATGATTAAGAATCCATATAACACAAAATACTGTAAAAATGAAAAGAAGGACTTCTTTCCCACCTCTCCGGTTCCTGCCGTCCTAGTCCCAGAGATAACCTGTTAAACAGAACATCTCTGTGCCTATGTTAGCAATTACATATATGAATGACGGGTTTGATGTTTGCATAATGTAAACTTCTACAGCTGCATTTATTGGTGGAATGCATCATCTATTTTGAATCAAATCACGAAATTCTTGGCTATCAGAGCTGCGCAGTCTTTCTATAGTGTCTGTGAATATTTTATAAGAAATGAACGTAACAGTGGTGATGGAATCAGGCAGCCTGTGTTTAATTCCTGGCCTGAAACTCTGGACATTGGCTCTGATTTGAGCTCTACTGACACCCCAGCTACACTTCTCCTATAGCTGGACTAAGGGAAATGGGACTTTGGAACCCAGGAGCGTAATCCCATGGAAATAAAGCTTTCGACTCTATCGCCTCCTCCTGTGGGGGCCTCTGGAAATGCTTATTCCAGTGGAACCCCAAGAAGTCCACTCCCACTAACAATGGGGGAAGACAAGACATGTTTTTCTCCTGTAACAAGAAGATTAAATGATTTTCACACGTAAAACACCTAGAAAGAGTTTAGTGCATAAATGGGGTAAATGCTCCATTTGCTATTGTATTATTTCTTCCTAGGTGTTTAAGTAACTCAGTTTCCTCGAAATTAAGATAAATTCCCTCACATGTAAAATGGGAATCCTTGTAGAGTTGTCCTCCCTTATTCATGGGGACACATCCCAAGACCCCCCAGTGGATGCCTGAGTCCGTGGATAGTACTGACTCCATGTACACTATGTTTTTTCCTGTACATACATACCTATGATAGAGTTAATTTACGAATGAGACACAGCAAGAGATTAACAATAATAAAATAGAACAATTATAACAATATACTGTAATAAAAGTTATATGAATATGGTCTCTATCTCAAAATATCTTGTTATACTGTGCTTACTTTTTTACTTAAAGGAAGCACCTCATAGATTCTCTTTGGCATATCTGAATTGCCAGCGTCACCTCGGGGTCATTATTAAGTAACATAAGGGTGACTTGAACACAAGCACTGTTAGTATCAATACGATGTTAGTATTGATCCGGTAACCAAGGCTACTCAGTAACTAATGGGCGGGAAGCGTGTACAGTGCAGAGACGCTGGACAGCGTGATGGCTCGTGACTCAGGTGGGATGGAAAGGGACAGTGTGAGATCTCATCATACTTCTCAGAATGGCACACGATTTAAAACTTACGAATTGTTTATTTCTGGAATTTTCCATTTAATGTTTTCAGACCACAGTTGACCATGGACAACTGAAACCACAAAAAGTGAAACCATAGCGAAGGGGGGACAAATGTCTCTATCTCATGGGATTTTTGTTAGAATTAAACAGGGTAAACACATTTAAGGAGCTTGGTGTGTGCCTGGTACTTACCGATGAGCGTGGCTGGTTTGTCAGGTTTGGCTGGCTCTGCAGCATGCCAGTTACCCTGCCCTCACCAAGTGAGGGATCCTGTGGGGTTGGTAACCAGGTGGGCAAAGGAGGGCAGACCGTGGAGGGCAAGCCTGGTGCAGCTTAGAGGTCGAGGCACACAGGGAGGCAGGAGGCTCTGGTGTGTGGGCACCGTCACTGGTGTCCCTTCTCTCACCTTTCCAGCGACCTCCTTAGCGATCGTCCAGCTGGGAGCCACTCAGGACATTATAAAGAAGCAGTGCGATGTGGTCCCTGCCCCTGTGTGTGCACGGGGGCGAGGGCAGGTGACTATGCATTGAGACTGTGCCTAGGTGGATGCTGACCCTGAGTTACTGAAGGAGGAAAGAGAAGTTTGTGGCTTCGTTGCCTTTGAGATGCAGTACGACAAGCCCTCAAGATGTGTCTAGCAGGCCGTTGGGGATGTGCCTGAAGTTGGAGAGGTGTCAGAGGTAGTGGAGAGGACTTGCATCATTTGCCTGAGGGTGGGGATTGGAAACTACAGGGAGTTTAAGATTTCTGTGGAGAAGATGAACGTTGGTGACTGGGGTTACTAATCAGCATGAGACCCTGACCACTGGGGGTACTTGCTGTCTGAGTTGCTCTCCTGGGGGCAGGCAGATACACATGCCCATCACTTTGCAAGTTGACAAACAGGAACTTCAGGGAAGGCAGGGACCATGCCTTACCCACAGTGCTAATAAACAGGCTACAGCAGTGACTTCTTGAGAAGGGCCTGGAAGATGCCTTGTAATGTGAAGCACTACAGACTTTCAAAGTCAGACATGCTATTTATTATTAAGAAGGGATTGGCTAGCCCAGCTGGTGTGGCTCAGTGGTTGAGCATCGACTTATGAACCAGGAGGTCATGACTTGATTCCCCGGTCAGGTCACATGCCTGGGTTGCGGGCTCCATCCCCAGTGTGGGGTGTGCAGGAGGCAGCGAATTAATGATTCTCATCATTGATGTTTCTATCTCTCTCTCCCTCTCCCTTCCTCTCTGGAAAAAAAAATTTTTTTTAAAGAAGGGATTGGATAAGTTCATGGGCCAGAGATCTACACTTTTATTAAGGGAACCGAGGCAAGTTTGGGATCTCCATAATATTTAATGATTTATTTTCATTTAGATCAGGGAAAAATCATGTAGGGTCCCCCCCTCCCCTCAGTTTCCTTCCAGCCACTTGATATTTTACTGGCACTAATGGTTCGGACACTTTTGTCATCAGAGTTGCATTTATAAGGGGCTTGGTCCTTTTCGAACCTAAAATGCCTGAGTGGAACTGGACTGAAGTTAGAGACTGTGGATCCCAGAGCAACTTCTCAGGGGAAATTGTGCGGTTGTCCCCAGCCCTGGTAGGACGTCCAGATGCTGGCCTCAAGCATGTCTTCACGTTTCCCACCCAGATTTGGAACTTGGCTTCCAACAAGCTAACGTTCTTGAACTCCTATAAAATGAAGATGTCGGTGATCCTGGGAATCGTCCAGATGACTTTTGGCGTCATTCTCAGCCTTTTCAACCACATGTGAGTTTTAGGGTTCTCCTTCTGCCTGTTGGTCTGACCCCATTGACGATGAGCAGTGACAGAGCCACCGGTTGTGCCCCGTGTCCCTCTGTGTGAGGTTCCTTCCCCATGTCTCTTGGCGTGAGCCAGGACAAGCTGGTGCCTGGAAATGGGCCCTCTGTTTCTCGGCTAAACTTCTCAAAGGTGAGTAATATTTTCATGCGGGTTTAGAATGAGGCTGGCAAGCCCGCAGCACCTGGTGTCCCCCAACCTGAAAGGCTTGTTCCTGTATATCAAGGCTCAGCTCCCACCAGCTCCCACCAGTGGGGACATAGTGCCTTTTGCCAAAACCCCCTCAGATTCTAAATTCCCTTTGGTGTCATTTCTTCCTATCGGCAGCACCCTCTCCCTTCTTTGGCTGTTAATGTTCTGCCTATTCCTTTCCTTCGATCAAGAACCATCTCTGGAAAGCTTCTCCAACCTACTTCCGCTACAGGTGTAAATCTTTGAAGCCAGCATCCATGGTGCCTGTTCAGAGGTGCCCTGTGTGGACCTGGCAGCTGGTAGGAGTCGCTGCCACGTAGTTTGATAGTAAGTGAGGGTAGCATGAGGCCACACACATGATAGGGGGCTTGGAATCAGAAGTTTACTAATAAGTACTGCTTCCAGTTTTTCATATCTGTGTGACCATGGATATGTTGCATAACGTCTCTGAGATTGCTTTCTTTTATAGAATGGGAATATAGTAGTCAGAATGAGTTAGGTTATTGTGAGGTAACAAATAACCCCCAAATCTCAGTTGCTAAGCTACAGACCATGACATGCCCACTGTAGGACCACCGGGGGCTCTGTGCCTGTTGTCTTCACACTGGGACCTGGGCTGACGGGCAGCTACCAGGGGTGCACTGCCAGTCGCCATGGTGGAAGGAGACTGGTCAATTACCGTTGACGCTTAAGTTTCCACCCCAAAGTGACACCTGCCACTTCTGTTCCCATTTCACTGGCCAGAGCCAGTCACACAGTGACCCCTGATCTGAAAGGCCGAAGAAGTACAGTTCTACTGAAAAATCGGAAGTACTTGGTGTGCAAGCCAATGACGAGCACCCTGGTGCTCCTGCCTGCCTGGGAGTTCTATGCGGATTCGGTGAGACAGAATCCCAGACGGCACTTTCTGCCTAGACCTTATTTGGCATCATTGAGTGTCAGGCTGGCCTCACGTTATCTCTGATAATCCCATTTTTTTCCATGGAATCTCCTTTTCTAGCTCTTGCAGTTAACAAAGGGTATGGGGCTCTTTCTGATATTTTTCACTTCGGTGCCCCCAACTTATTCTGTGCGACCCAAGGCCTTAGAGCTGGAGTTGGCATGCATTCTCTGCAAAGGGACAGATAGTAAATCTTTTAGACTTTTGAGGCCAGATGGTAACGTGAAAACTGCCATTGACAATACAAATGCGTAGCGGGATGAGTGTGACCGTTCCAATAAAACTTTATGTATGAATGCTGAAATTTGAATTTTGTGTAATTATCATGTATCATAAAATAATATTCTTTTTAGTCTCCCCCCACCCCCGCCATTTTAAAATATGAAAACCATTTTTAACTTGCAGGCTGTAAAAACCCAAGGGCCCTACTTTGCCCCCCTATCTTAAGGCATTCTTAGGAGGAAAGCTCTCAAGTCACCCCCATATACCCGTGTGTTTTCAATGTGTTGATATGAGCTGGGCCTGCATTTGAAGCTTTGGCCAAATCGCCAACTGACTGTGTGGGCTCAGTCTTTGCTTCAGACATGACCCCTAGACTTTGGTTCTCTCCAAATCTTTTGTGCAAAAGCACTTTCCTCTCCATCCATGCATGATTGCTGCTTCCCAGGGGAGTGAATGCAGTTAACATTTTATGCTTTGGGAAGAATAATTAGTTACTGATACTTTTTTTCAATGTTCTGTCTTCGTGTGTGTGTGTGTGTGTGTGTGTGTGTGTGTGTGTGTGTCCATCCCCAGATACTTCAGAAAAACACTCAACATCCTTCTGCAATTTATTCCGGAGATGATTTTTATGCTGTGCCTGTTTGGATACCTGGTTTTCATGATCATTTTCAAATGGTGCTACTACGATGTCCACGTGTCCCAGAAGGCCCCCAGCATCCTCATCCACTTCATCAACATGTTTATGTTTAACTATAACGACCCCTCGAATGCACCCCTGTACAAACATCAGGTATTATGGGATTTTTCTTCTTTTATGCACCTAATTATGGTAGATCTCTCTCATACTCTTGAGTACCACAGAGACTAGTTATTTGCAAGACTGAGCTATCTTGCCCTAACCAGTTTGGCTCAGTGGCTAGAGCGTCGGCCTGCGGACTGAAGGGTCCTGGGTTTGATTCCGGTCAAGGGCACATGCCCAGGTTGCGGGCTCGATCCCCAGTGGAGGGCATGCAGGAGGCAGCTGATCAATGATTCTCTCTCATCATTGGTGCTTCTATCTCTCTTTCCTCCCTTCCTCTCTGAAATTAATAAAAATATATTTAAAAAATAAAATAAAAATAAACTCCAGCTAAGGTTTACAAGAAAGAAAATGGAAATGGGACCAGGAAGAGGAGTCCCTCTGTTCACATGTCAGGCTCTTCCGGGGGCTTCCGCTGGCTCGTTGAGTTTTTATCTCTTGTTTTCCTCTGGGCTCTTCCTCTGTGGACAGCACCGCCCAACAGTCAGACTTTTTGCCACTCTGATTGCTTCCATTTATTTCAGCTTCACTCTCAACTTGATATTTTATTTTTAAACAGTATAACTGTTCCATGGGAGCTGGATATAAATAGCACTCAGTGAGTCATTCTTTGGTAGCACAGATAGTTCTCTTCCTCTGTCCTCTCCCAGCGATTAACTTGATAATATTGCTTGAAGGTCGAGTTTTCAATAAAGGAAGGCCCATGTATATAGGTCATGATTCCTCTGGGTCAAGTTCTAGGGTGAGCTTCCCAATGCCAGGGGACCCTGCGGTGCACCTATCCCAACAGTGAGTGCTCATGCTGGTGCCCTGATGAAAATCAGGCTCCTCCCATGGCCCTGCATGTCCTCATGAGTTTGATTCCTACTTGTATTCTCCTTCCCTTCAGAAGCAGCAAATAAGAAGGAAAAAATGCCCTGTGATGGGGCTATTTTTTTTAATGAAAAAATAAGAGACTATTTTCAATAATAACCAGAGAAGACTTACACCTCTGGAAGTTCCCTGGTGGTACCCTATCTTTTTGTTAACATCAATGGTAACCTTGAACCACCCTAGCTGTTAGCATTAAATGAATGTATTTGGAAGGTTAATTTACTCATTGCCTGAGTCTAAATGAAAATTTACTTGGATTTTCCAAGCAAGTCTTCACTTTTAGGCAAAGGACTGAAATTCATCCAGCAGTTCACGTGCTAATAGCCCTTTGCATGAAGACAGAAGCCCTCAGTCTGGAATATGCAGTGAGCATGGCTTTTCCAGCTTTTTCTCATTAAAAACATCGTTGGGGTTGGCTCGTTTCCCCAAGCCCTAGTATGAAGATGAATTATCTTGACACAGTTTGAAGTTTCCATAACCTCATTTTGGGGTCAGGCAGCTGGGAGAGACAATGTAGGTTGATAAATACAGCCCCTTCCCATCACTGTCCTGGCTGTCTTACTGTCGTGCTTGACTATCGAAGAAGAGCAACAGATAATATAAATCTCCAGTTGCTTGTACAACATGAGGGGGAAAGCCTGGTGTAAAATGGACAAATAGGCCTGGCTGGTATGGCTCAGTGGTTGAGTTGACCTATGAACCAGGAGGTCAGGGTTCAATTTCCTGTCAGGGCACATGCCCAGGTCATGGACTCCATCACCAGTAGAAGGCGTGCAGGAAGCAGCTGATTAATAATTCTCTCTTATCATTGATGCTTCTAACTCTCCCTCTCCTTTCCTCTCTGAAATCAATAAAAATATTAAAAAATAAAATGCAACTGAAATGATTCACACTTAGCATTTTTATCATATAAAGCAGCGGTTCTCAACCTGTGGGTCGCGACCCCTTTGGCGTTCGAACAACCCTTTCACAGGGGTCGCCTAAGACCATCCTGCATATCAGATATGTACATTATTATTCATAACAATAGCAAAATTACAGTTATGAAGTAGCAACGAAAATAATTTTATGGTTGGGGGTCACAACATGAGGAACTGTTTTAAAGGGCCAGAAGGTTGAGAACCACTGATTGAAGTATGCTGTGTGATCACTTTAAAGTAATAGGATCTTACCATTCTGGTCTTGCAGCAAGAAGTCCAAAGTTTCTTTGTTGTTATGGCTTTGATTTCTGTACCGTGGATGCTTCTGATTAAGCCATTTATTCTTAGAGCCAATCATCGGAAATCCCAGGTAAGAGTCATTCCTTCCAGTTCAGTCACTGTGGGTAGGCATGTGGGTTCCTTGGGACTGGAAGTCTGGGGTTGAGAGAGCATGCTGGGTGGACCAGGCCTGAAAGACAGTGGCGAGGTAGGTAACTGGACTTCACCAGATATGTTCTCTTCAATAGAGTTTGACTTTTCCAGAATAATGTCCTATTAAGGCCAAGCAGGTTTAAATCTTATGTCTTGCAAATTTTGCTTGTGTGTGTGTGTGTGTGTGTGTGTGTGTGTGTGTGATATAAAATACTCCTTTGCATGAATATACCACAGTTTAGTTACCATTCAGATACTGATAGTTATTTGGCTTGTTTCCAGTTTTGGTAATTACAAATAGTGCTTCTATAAACTTCCTGTGTATGTCCTTTGGCACATGTGTTTTAGAGAGTTGCGAGTAACTAATTTAAAACTGATTATTTTATTTCAGACAGCACCCAGGTCAAACAGCATGAGACGTTAGCTAAAGAGACTGACTACAAAGTCTATTTTGACTGGGGAGAAGAGTCACTAACATTCACAAAGTCCAGTATTGTGCTTTTACCAAGTTATTCATGTTTATTTTAACCAATTCCAGCATAGGACTAGAAAAGGCTGGAGTTAGGGATGAAAGTGGAGAAACTATCTTTTATTTTTTTCTGTGATATTTTCTCCCTTCAGTTGACGGAGAGAGAAAATAGGATTTGAAGAAGACAAAGTAATGTTAGTTTAAGTCACATTCCTCACCATAGGGCAGGGAACCATGAACCCAGAGCCCCCTGTCGGTACCTGGTACCCTGGAATTCCTGTCCAGACGGACTCAAGCCCACTTCTGGGCTCTACAAAGGTCCAGCCACAGCACGGGCACAGCTAGATCCTGGCGTGGCCCCTGGGCAGCAGTTTGTGGAGAGTGTAGGTGGGCATGGACAGTGTGGGGGCAGTATCCACACGTGCACACCGGCCCTCCAGCTGCGGGAGGGGACCAGAGATGAGGAGAAAGTGGTGTGTCATCGTGCAGGCCAGCTCTCCTGGGACGCTGAATTTGAACCTGGCCTTTCAAGTTCTTATGAGGCTTTATTTATCAAGATAGGAGGCTAGAACATATTTTACTTAGGAATATGTTGGCTTAATTTATAACTTTTCAATATTTAAACATATGACACATGGACTTCCATTGTGACCTTTGCCCAGGGGCTTGCAAATATTAGGTGCAGACTCACTGAAGAAAGAAAGGTACTGATACTTACATGCCTAATTTGCAACACTCCTCCCGTGAAATCATTCTAGGAACAACTTTCAGCATGGGATGTTAAGTTTCACAGTGCCTGGGAAGAAATAGTTGATTGAAACTCAGGGATAAAACCAGGCCAAACTGAATGGTGACTACACCTTGATTTTTTTTCCCCCTTTGGATTTTTTTCTTAGCCATTTTTATAAAATGATATTTTTATTTAGAAAAGTATATTTGTGTTGGAAAAGTGATTGTCTTAGTCTGTTTGGGCTGCTATAACCAAGTACCACAGACTGGGTGGCGTATAAACAGCAGAAATTCACTGCTTACAGTCCTGGAGGCTGGGAAGCCCAAGATTAAGGCTCCAGCACATTCACCTTCTGGGTAGGGTCCCTTCCTGGTTCATGGTGAGAAGACACCTTCTCGTTGTGTCCTCACATAGAGGAAGGGGTGAGGATACTCTCTGGGGCCTCTTTTATAAGGGCACGAATCCCATTCCTGAGGGCTCCACCCTCATGTCCTAATCACCTTCCAAAGGCCCCACCTTCTAAAGCTATCATCTTTGGAGGTTAGGATTTCAACATAGGAATTTTGGAGGGAGACACAGACATTCAGATCATAGCAGTCATTAATTCCTGATTTTTCCCATAGAAATCTGGATGTGTCGGTCACAAGGCTAAGTATGTCAAAGGTATCACTGATGGTTTTATGACGGTGTGTATATATGTATAAATAGAGAGGCACTCCGGTGTGTGTGTTGGTTTACTGTAAAGACTGACCCATTTGGCACCTTCTGGCACCATGGAGAAAAGCACATGCTCTGGAATCCCCAACTGGGTTTGAATCCTGGCTCTGCTGCTAACCAGCCTTACCAGCTGGGGTCCTGGGCACATGTGTTAACCTTTCTGAGCTGTAGTTTACCTCTCTGTGAAATGGGGTGGTGACTCTGCTCATGTAAAAATGTTGTTAGGAAAGCTAAATGAGATAACGTAGAGAGAGTTTAGAACAGTGGCTGGGACGTAGCTAATATTTCACGAGAGCCCGTATTTTGCATGGAATTGTTGTGATTCTAATTCTAAGGATGAATCGAGCGCTTCATTTCCTTGCTTGCTGACAGCTGCAGGCATCCATGATTCAAGAACACACCGCTGAAGACATTGAAGGTAACAACTCGAGCCCTCCCAGGAGAGCAGATGCCCACAGGGCCCAAGAGGACTACGAAGAAGAGGTATTTGGGACTCAACACCCTACAAAGACTTCCCAGTTTGTACAGATTCTAGAAGCGGACCTGGTCAGGGGTGGTGGTCAAGTATTGAAGAGCTGTTTGGGCGTGGGCACCAGCCCATCAGAATGAACTTGGGCAGTAGAGCTGGTTGGGTCAAGAGGACCTTGCTGGTGGCAGCCCTGTGATTGCTGAGTCACAGGAAGCTGGGAAGGTCCTAGGGCAGGGGATGCCTACAGGATCAGAACAACTGCTACTTACCAACCCATCTAGGAGTATTGTAATCTTTTAGCCCAGGTGCTGCTGCATCTGTGAGCGTGAGGTGAACGTCAGCCTTCAGATCTAGTGACATCGGAGGCCATCAATGGTACGAAGGCCTCCTTGGCTCATCACTGGGCCCCGAAAGTCAGCTTTCTCATCAGGGCCCCTCAAGCCGTGAGAGCAGAGCCCAAATGTAGCCCTAGATATTAAAGCAAAAAGTGGATCCTTTTTCCCCAGTCCCCTCCTGGACCCAAGTGTGCACAGCCTTCATCACCCTCTGCCTCAGCCCTGCTCTATCACAACCTCCTTCATTAACCTTCATAATACTATCTGCTCTCCTGTGAATTCAGGAATTGTTTTGTTTCCTCCTCCCTCCCTGCCCCTTTCTGTCTGAGGCAGCCACTCCCAGGAATGTGCCACATTTTCCCAGACTCTGCTTTTATGCCAGGACTGGAGTGGCCCACAGTCCTGAACTGGCTGGGGGTTATCACTGGAGCTCTATTCTTATTCTGCAGTGGGGACAGGGTCCTGTGAGGCCTGATGGATGCTAAGAGTAGCTCCATTTCTAATGTTAATTACTGAAAAAATAATCATTTGAATGAATGGATGGTCAATTAGACCTAATGAGGGGAAAAATCTGGATTTTGAACAACTGTTCCTACAAGATTCCAGGTAAGGAGAATAACCCATATTGGTGGCTTATTGATATTTACGTTTGTTAGACTTGCTGGAATGTTTTAGAATCCAACCCACACAGCATCAGACTTACCAGGCCCAGCCTATCCAGTGCAGCCTCCATAATCTTCTCATGCCCTTGACATGTATCCAGTCCCTGTTCACCGGCCACCACTGCCATGACCCGGCTGCCCCTTCCATTTGTAGGCTCGTCCCCTCCCCCATGGTCATGCTTGGGTGTCCCATTGTAAGGTGAATACAGGCTTGACTCCGCCTCCCCCTCGAAGTCCTCTCCCACTTCTCTCCTCGCCAAGAGTTAACCGAACTCAGGGGTAAGGACGCAGTGCCCAGACTGCTAAGTCTACCCAAGACTTCTGACACTAGCCACAAGTTTGGGGTTCCCCAGGACCACCCCCCCTTCAGACCAGCCAGTTACAAGTTCAGGGTCCCCTCAGACTGCGTTGGGTTCAATCTTTTATAAACCCACTCATAGAACTCAGGAAAGTGCAATACTTAGTTTTGTTGTAGCAAAAGCATACACATCAGAACCAGCCAGAGGAAGAGGCACCCAGGCGGAATCCACTGGGAGGGCTCCAAAGCGCGGCTTCTGTGTTCTCAGGGACTCCTTATTCTCCCAGCACTGACTTGTGGTAACAGGTGTGCAGATGGCCAGCCCAGGAAGCTCACCTGAGCCTCACTGTCCGATGTTTTATTGGGGGCTCACTACGCAGGCATGGTTGACCTAGGGCAGTGATGGCGAACCTTTTGAGCTCGGCGTGTCAGCATTTTGAAAAACCCTAACTTAACTCTGGTGCCGTGTCACATATAGAAATTTTTTGATTTTGCAACCATAGTAAAACAAAGACTTATATTTTTGATATTTATTTTATATATTTAAATGCCATTTAACAAAGAAAAATCAACCAAAAAAATGAGTTCGCGTGTCACCTCTGACACGCGTGTCATAGGTTCGCCATCACTGACCTAGGGCCACCCAGGTGGTCTCCATCACTCTTCCTTTCCTGGAGATGGGGCTACTAGCATGTGTCTCCAAGTCCAATTCTAACCACTTGGTTGGTCTTTCTGGTGTGGCCTATCCCCAAGTAAATGAACAGAAGTGGTCCCAAGAACTCACCAAAAATAACAAAAGCATTTCTTTCACTTGTGAAAGTACAAGGACTTAGAGCAGTGGTTCTCAACTTTCCTAATGCCGCGACCCTTTAATACAGTTCCTCATGTTGTGGTGACCCCCAACCATAAAATTATTTTCGTTGCTACTTCATAACTGTAATTTTGCTACTGTTATGAATCGTAATGTAAATATCTGATATGCAGGATATATTTTCATTGTTACAAATTGAACATAATTAAAGCATAGTGATTAATCACAAAACAATATGTAATTATATATGTGTTTTCCGATGGTCTTAGGCGACCCCTGTGAAAGGGTCGTTCAACCCCCAAAGGGGTCTCGACCCATAGGTTGAGAACCGCTGACTTAGAGGTTGCCTTCCAGGGGCCAGGACGAAGCTGAACCTCTCTTTGGGTGGGGTTAATTCTTCACTACACAGTCTTCCTTTTCCTTGACTCTCTCTACCCACCCTGTCCATCTCTGCTCATCCCCACCCTTCAATTCCTCCTAGCAGTTTTCATTGCCAAATTGAGAGGCACTGATTTTTGTCTTTTCTCTATAGCAACTGACATGGTTGACCACACCCCCATTCCTTCCTGGATACCTCTCCATCCTTGACTGCAGCCATGTGGTTCCTCCTATCTCTGAACGAAGATGTTTCCCAAGGCTGAGTGAGAGCTCTTCTTCCCACCATCTTTTCCTTATTGATCTTCTCAGTCCTCCTCGCTCCCACTGTCCCTCCTCCCACAGTGAGGTCCCAGGTGTCCATTTCCAGCCTAGACTTTTCTTCTGAGCTTGTTCTGCCTCTGCCATTGTGTGCTGAGAGATTCTACTTGTATGGGCAGCTGTCACCTGGGACATGACACATCTGACAATTAACTGCTCATCTCCTTTTCCAATTTATCCATGTTTGTCAATGCAACTCTTTTCACTCTTCAGCCTCAAGAATCTCAGAGCCCTGTGTGACCCTGGGTGAGGGCCCCTTCTGGGTAAGGGGTCCTCTGTGTTCCCACAATACCGCTGCATTCTCGATGAGGGCACTTCCCATACTGCTCTGTGGGATCTGTCTGTCGGCATATTCTCCCTTTTAGACAGTGAGCTACTTGAGGCCAGAGAAGGCGCCAGTCACTCTGTGTCCCCCCAGCATCAGAGTACATGGAGGAAACAGTGGGCTATCATCGCTGTCTCACCCCGTTTCTTCTCCCCTCATACCCAGGATCACTAAGCTATTCCACAAACCGACTTTTTTGCTTATAGGCTGTCCCTTCACTGGTCCATTTTGCTTTCAGATTAATCTTCTCCCAAATATGTCTTTATGTTCCCCTGCCACGTTCTATTCAGACCCTTTTAATGGTTGCTCAGTGATTCTGGGTGATTTTCTCAGCTCTGTCCTTCATTGGTCTTTCCTGCAACTTCAACACCTGCACGCTCTTACTGGTCACCTACACAGGCTCCCAGTTCCAGCCAATTGTTTTTCCCCAAAACTTGCCTCCGTGATAGTCCCACCTACTGCCTTACTAGAGTCCTTTTCTTTACCAGGAAGGGTCTTGTTTTTCTTTGACTTCCGGATGCCTCCCCATCCTTCATGGCCCAGCACAAATCTCATGAACCTTTTCAACAACTTCTGGGACATGTTACTGCACACACATCACATCCTACTTTGTGTTGCTAATTCTCTTTCTACAAGTACAGTAATATTTATTTTCCTCTGGTTCACCTGGAAATATCTGAACAGCAAAGCCCATGTCTTATTCATGTATATATTATTTATACTACTTTGTATGTGGAAAGTACTTAATGAAATAGAACAAAGAGTTTCCTCTTTCAGTTCAACTTTGGAGACATATTCGTGCATCAGGCCATCCACACGATCGAGTACTGCCTGGGCTGCATTTCAAACACAGCCTCTTACCTCCGGCTCTGGGCCCTCAGCCTGGCTCACGCAGGTGAGTGAGCCACCAGCAGGGGTGCAAAGCTCAGAGCATGCGCTTGTACCAGTGCCTTCTCTGGCTTCTTTCCGTCTCTTCTTTCGTGAGAATAATTTGCATTTGCCACGTAAACCTGTGATGTTGCTCTTGCGTCTTGCAGAACTGTCCGAAGTGCTCTGGACCATGGTGATGAACATCGGCCTTCGCCTGCGAGGCTGGGGAGGACTCATCGGGGTCTTTATCATTTTTGCTGTGTTTGCTGTCCTGACAGTAGCCATCCTGCTGGTCATGGAGGGGCTCTCTGCTTTCCTGCACGCCCTGCGGCTGCACTGGTGAGGACGACGGGGCTGCAGGACCTCTGTGGGCTCTTGGGTGGAAGTCGGGCTGTCAGGCCAGCTGGGTCCAAGTCCTGACCTGCTGTGTAACATTAGCAACTAACATACCCTTCTGGAACCTTAGTTTAGGCACCTGTTGGTGAACTATTCAATGATATCATATATTATGCATATATCTTGGCCACCTTGTGATAAATGCTAGTTCTCATTTATTCCTTCTCCTTTACATTTCCACTTGTTATATTACAATTGGCTCTAAAATAAGGGATACCTGCCAATGTCGGTACGATGGGAGATCTGAAATGGGCTCACGGAAGGCCTGCTGAGTCTGGGACCTTTGGCCTTTGTTGCCGAGTGCAGGAGTTAACACCCATAGTTCAGCTGCCAAATTCTCAGAAAGTGGAAATTGAAGGAGGGTGCCTGCAAGGGAGAAGGCCCCCTGGACATTCACAGATTTGTCTGGAATGTAGCTTGTCTTCAGCTTTCGCCTCCCTCTCTACCTGCTGTTCATAAAAAATGTTTTTATGCTTCTCTACTGAGTTGAGAATCACAGCGTCCCCTGCCTAAGGTTATAACATCATTTCTGCCTGTATCATTAGGAAGCAAATTCTGCAACTTTATAAACATAAATGATCTTGCGTGATATCTGTTCTGTAAGTTATAGAAATATAAACCAAGGTTCTGATTGTTCTGCAGTTTAGGACCAGGATGAAAACTAAAAAGCACGTGTAACCTGCTGAGCGCTCTGCTCACTAGCTCATCGGACAGTGGTTCAAAGCGAGGGTGCTGAGGGTGGGATGGCTATGCTGGTCTGTGAGGCCAGCAGCAGAGGCCTGGGAGGGGCGGGGGGAAGGTGTAAGAGAGAAGGTTATAAAAGCCTGAGAGGATTCCTGTGGCAACACCAGCCTGGGTTCCTCCCCCCACGCCTTCCTGACTCTGCGCTTGGTCTGATAAATGCTTCCTAGATCTAGCTACCCCCTAGAGGTGGGTGTTTAACCCCCCTTTTCTTGCCCCCAACAACAGGGTGGAGTTCCAGAACAAGTTCTACGTCGGGGCTGGGTACAAGTTCTCTCCGTTCTCCTTTAAAAACATCCTGGATGGGACAGTCGAGGAGTAGCTGCAGGTCCCGTGGCTGATGGCTGACACCACCTTCTGTATCAGTCTTGTTTTTGACATCAACTGTGCAAGGCTGCCAATGGAACGATTGTTCTCAGCCAACCAGAGGCAGGAAGCCATGTATTATTTAGCTACAAGTCCTGGGATTTGATACGACTTCACCATGTTATAGAGGAACGGCGTCGCAAGTCATTTCAACCTCCTGTAAGGTCTTAGTTGTCAAATACTAAAATGATAGAGAAATTGGGGAGGGGTTGCTAAATTAATGTTTTCTTGTCATATTGTAAGTATTATATTTAAGAAAATAAACTTCTGGGCCATTCACTTTTTCCGTAAGATGTCTTTATTCAAAATTATTTCATAAAATTTAGTGTCCATAATTTCAGGGCAAAGTTAAACAATAGAGTTATACAAACTACTCCAAAAGAAGGATTATTATTTGATTCCTTCATTTCCTGCTTCCTCAAACACCTTTTATCGTCATCTGAGGCTAAGCTGCACAAGATCAGGAACTTTCTCATAGATTTTTCTCTCTGGGTGAGGAAGCACAGCTAATGTTCTGTGTTGGATGGAGGGCTGGCCCCTGTGTGGCTCTCTGCTTTGTTAAACCCCACATGACATCATCAGCAACTTTGTTTGCTCTGAGAGCACATTATGCTGGAGTAACTGGAGAAAGTGATTTGTAGGCTTGGACAAATTCAAGGGCCAGGTGTAGAATAAGATTGTTCCAAATAGACACACAGACTAATAGAACAAAAGTGACAAGGAGCCAAAAACATGCAATGGAGACAGGAAATCATCTGGGAAAACTGGAAAGCCACATGCAAAAGAGTGGACCTAGACTGCTGACACCATACACAAAAATTAACTCAACATGAATTAAAGGCTTAAATATAAGAACTGAAACAATGGAATGCATAGAACATATAGGTACTAAACGTATGGACCTTGGTCTCAGAGGGTTTTTTGTGAACTTGACCCCAAAGGCCAGAGAAGTAAAAGCAAAAATATATGAATGGGGTTCCATCAAACTAAAAAGCTTCTGCACAGCAAAAGAAACCATCAACAAAACAAAAAGGCAACCAACCAAATAGGAAACGATATTTGTAATGATATCTCCAATAAGGGACTAAAATGTATTAAAAAAAAATGCATACAGCTTTTTCGTAACAGGTTTGCCGCCAAAACACAGGTGTTGTGAAAACCACCATTAACTCAAACCCAAGATGGGAAAGGGAAAGACTCACATCAACATCGTTGTCATTGGACACGTAGATTCTGGCAAGTCTACCACTACTGGCCATCTGATCTACAAATGTGGTGGCATCGACAAAAGAACCATCGAGAAATTTGAGAAGGAGGCTGCTGAGATGGGGAAGGGCTCTTTCAAGTATGCCTGGGTCTTGAATAAACTGCAAGCTGAACGGGAACAAGATATCACCATTGAGATCTCTCTGTGGAAATTTGAGACCAGCAAGTATTATGTGACCATCATTGATGCCCCAGGGCACAGAGACTTCATCAAAAACATGATTACAGGCACATCTCAGGCTGACCGTGCAACCTGATTGTTGCTGCTGATGTTGGTGAATTTGAAGCAGGCATCTCCAAGAATGGACAGACACGTGAGTGCCCTTCTGGCCTACACACTGGGTGTGAAACAGCTGATAGTTGGTGTTAACAAAATGGATTCCACTGAGCCACCCTACGGCCAGAAAAAATACGGAGAAATTGTTAAAGAAGTCAGCACCTACATTAAGAAAATTGGCTACAACCCTGACACAGTAGCATTTGTGCCAATTTCTGGTTGGAATGGTGACAACATGCTGGAGCCAAGTGCTAACATGCCTTGGTTCCAGGGATGGAAGGTCACCTGTAAAGATGGCAATGCCAGTGGAACCACACTGCTTGAAGCTCTGGATTGCATCCTGCCACCACCTTGTCCAACTGACAAGCCTCTGCGTCTGTCCCTCCAGGATGTCTACAGAATTGGTGGTGTGGGTCCTGTCCCTGTGGGCCGAGTGGAAACTGATGTTCTCACGCTTGGCATGGTGGTCACCTTTGCTCCAGTCAACGTTACACTGAAGTGAAGCCTGTTGAAATGCACCATGAAGCTTTGAGTGAAGTTCTTCCTGGGGACAACGTGGGCTTCAATGTCAAGAACGTGTCTGTCAAAGATGTTCACCATGGCCATGTGGCTGGTGACAGCAAAAATGACCCACCAATGGAAGCAGCTGGCTTCACAGCTCAGGTGATTACCCTGAGCCACCCAGGCCAGATCAGTGCTGGCTATGCACCTGTGCTGGATGGTCACACAGCTCACATCGCTTGCAAATTTGCTGAGCTGAGGGAGAAGATGGATCGTCATTCTGGGAAAAAGCTGGAAGATGGCCCCAAGTTTTTGAAATCTGGTGATGCCGCCATTGTTGATATGACCCCTGGCAAGCCCATGTGTGTTGAGAGCTTCTCTGACTACCCTCCTCTGGGCCGTTTCACTGTTTGTGACATGAGACAGACAGTTGCTGTGGGTGTCATCAAAGCAGTGGATGAAAAGGCAGCTGGAGCTGGCAAAGTCACCAGGTCTGACCAGAAAGCTCAGAAGCTAAGTGAATATTATCTCCAACACTTGCCACCCCAGTCTCAATCAGTGGTGGAAGAATGGTCCCAGAACTGTGTGTCTCAATTGGCCATTTAAGTTTAATAGTAAAAGACTGGTTAATGATTACAATGCATCGTAAAACCTTCAGAAGGAAAGGAGAATGTTTTGTGGACCATTTGGTTCTTTTGTGTGTGTGGCAGTTTTTAAGTTATTGGTTTTTTAAATCAGTACTTTTTAATGGAAACAACATGACCAAAAATCTGTCACAGAATTTTGAGACCCATTAAAATAACAAAGTTTAATGAGAAAAAAAACCACAAACAAATGCATACAACTCAACAAAAACAATCGAATTAAAAAAAGGGCAGAGGACCTGAATAGACACTTTCCCCAAGAAGACATATAGATGGCCAACAGATATATGAAAAGATGCTCACCTTCACTAGTTATAAGGGAAATGCAAATCAAAACCACAATGAGCTCATACCTGTTAGAGGGGCTATCATCAATAAGACGAGAAATATGTTGGAGAGAATGTGGAGAAAAAGGAACCCTTGTCCACTGCTAAGGGGAATGTAAGTTGATGCAGCCTCTATGGAACACACTATGGAGGATCCTCAAAAAATTAAGAATAGAGCTATCACATGACCCAGCAATCCCTCATCTGGGTATCTACCCCCAAAATTTGAAAACATTTATTCCCAAAGATGTATGCACCCCTGTGTTCACTACAGCATTATCCACAGTGGCCAAAACATGGAAACAACTAAAGTGCCCTTCAATGGGTGATTGGATAAAGATGTGGCACATATGTGCAATGGAATACTACTCAGCCGTGAAAAATGATGAAATACTGCCATTGTGGCAGCATGAATGGATCTTGAGAGTATCATGCTAAGTGAAATAAGTCAGATGGAAAAGGACAAGAACCACATGATTTCACTCATGTGGGATATACAACAGCAATGAATGAACAAACTTATGGGAACAGACAACAGTATGGTGGTTACCAGCGGGGGAGGGGGTAGAAGTGGGGAAGGATGAAGAGGGTAAAGGGGAAAACATATGTAATGGGATGTAAATATACTTTGGGGCAGGTGAGCATACATGCAATACACAGATGATATATTATGGAATTTTACATCTAAAAATGTTATTAACCAATGTTACCCTAATAAATTTAATTTTTAAAAAAGATCGTTTCATTAACTCTTTAGTCTGAATGACCTTTATCCAGGTTCATTATAATGGCTATGGTGACTATCCTGGTAGAATGAAGTCTATTTACAATTTACGAAGCACTTCCACTTAGTATCTACATCTAAATAAGATTCCAGGAGACCTGACAAAATGTAAGAGTCCTTTGGACAGGTCTCTTTTTTTCAACCCCACCTGCCCCTCCGTGTATTGGGTTGCCTGGTGCTTATGGAAGTGTCATTGCTCATACCCCAGGGGGCTTCTCTGTCACCTTCCATATCAAGGTCATGCATGACCCACCCAGCACAACTTAAGGCACAATTAGATGCTCAGCAAATATTCACTTAATGATTAAAACAGACTGAGCCCAAGAATGACAGTTGTAATCAGAAGATGTGTATCCTTGAGTTCCATCTCTGGTAGTTTATTGTGTGTGCCCTCAGGCAGGATGTGGAGTTGTCCCCTTATGGCCAAAGTGATCTCCACCTCTGGGCTGTGAAGGGGGTTATAAGGCTCTAGGCATGGACCAGGCATGCAGTCAGTAACGACCCCATGTTGTCAAGGTCACTGGACAGGTTCAAGGTCCTCAGCTCCTTATTGCCCTTCTCCACAGCCGTCTAAAACTATGCTCTGCTTAGAGGGGTCACCAACCAGCCTTTTGCCCTCTAATCCTAAACAATGATGGCTGCAAGTGAAGGTTTGAAAACTCAGAACTTCCCTCTGCACCTGACCTAGACCCCTGCTCTTTCAGAAATGCCCCCAGCCTTCCTGAGAACAACATATTAGTATCCTCCCAAGCCTGGCAGCCTCTTTCTGTTTCCATAAAAGATGTAATTTCCCCTTTATAAAGGGATCAGGTGAAGGGCTGACTGAGAAGGGGGTGTGACCTGGATGTCACTCACTTGTCCAGGATGCAAGGTGGTTTCTTAAATAATCCCGTTCACAGAACTGAGCTGAACGGGAAGGAGAAGACCTGGGCGCCAGGTTTCTTGGGAAAGTAAGTCCAGAAGCCACCAGTGGTGCAACTTCTAGGTGGGATTTGGCTGCTGTGAAGGGGAAGCAAACAAGCCCCAGACTGGAAAGAAATATACCGAGGTAAGAAACTCCTATGGGCAACATGGATCTGGATTGATTTCTCCTGCTTTGGGGTGGGGGGAGGGTTGGACCACAAGTGGCTGGCTGAAGGCAAATGGAGTTTGAGACTTTCTTCTTATTGACATTGCAAAACAAATTTCAACACACACACAGACACACACAAGTTCAGTTTAAAAAATTCTACAGTAGCCCAATTATTTCTGGCTAAAATGGAGTAGAATAAAATGCCTGCTGGTCACCTAGAATTTGTTTTGATGAGTCTTGAGCTCCATCTAAGCCTTTGAGTTTCAGAGTAAATCCCCAATATGTAAGTTTTTTTAAAAATATATTTTAATTGATTTCAGAGAGGAAGGGAGAGGGAGAGAGGGATAAAAACATCAATGATGAGAGAGAATCACTGATTGGCTGCCTCCTGCACACCCTCCACTGGGGATTGAGCCTGCAACCTGGGCATGTGCCCTGACAAAGAATTGAACCGTGACCTC